TTGCTCAGAGCTCTTTTCCGACTATCGGCTGCTGGATGATTACGAGGACTCCACGAGCTTGCGATAAGTGGCCCTTCTTCAGATTACTCGAACTTCAGTAGGGCTAGAAAAAGTTTAGTCGGGCAGTCAAAATATTTTTGATCCTTTCAGGCTCCGAAGAAGGCATTCGTACCAAAACGTCAGCTTGATAAAGCTCGCGTTGGGCCTGCGTTCCCTTAACCTAGTGAAGACTTTGAGAAAACAGATTCCTTATGCAGTAATCAGACCGAGGTTCACATTGACAGCCCTACGTGGAAGGTTAAGTCAGGATAAAACAGGGAGCAGGCTACACTCATATAATCCTTAAGATAGGAGTAGTAGTTCAAAGGGAAGATAACACGATTCACTGCTCCTTCTTCATGTTCTCATAGCATACATTACCTTAAAACCCCTACCTGTAGAATAACGCTGATTGATAAGCCGAGAGTACTCATCACAACCACATTGTACACACTCATTCCTATGTACTTGCTGTCATTCAATGCTGGCACATTGACATGTCTTGTTTCCCAGGCCAAGAAACATCCAAGAATCTGTAATGTTCATCGGTAGCTTCGCTTGTCAGCAAATAATTTTCAGGGAAGCTTATACCAACCATAAGTACTCCTTTGATTGCATAGAGGACGGCTTGGAAAACTGCTGAATGGTTTGATTGGCATTTCTCGATTTCCGGTATCACTACTTTATCGTCGAAGTGCTGAAAAGTGTCTGGCAATCTTTGGATATAACCTGGCACTCTCTGACATTCGAATCCGTCAATGAGGCCAACATCACAAGTGTTGTCACAGCCTCACAATACTTAACAATAACTTACCAACTGCGGTAGCTCCATAACGGACATGCGGAATGGAGAGATGACAGCCCAGAGAGTCAGCACCAGTATGTCGACGAATAACAATCCAGCCAAAATCAGCAGCAGCTTTGAATCCTGGAAATTACTTGAAAGTGTCGAAAGATTTTCGTGAAGGTCTCATTAGTGGCGAATCCATTGTGAAGTAAAAAAGATTGGTTGTGATGCATCATTATTGAAAGAAAAGGAATTAGTTGCCCTTGCTCAGGTGCTTCCGTAGTTTCCGATATTTATCAGCAATTTCTCTAATACATACAGAACAACAAATACACCATCAAAATACGGTCCTTCCATCGCTCACAGTGCAATTTTCAGTAACCGTAACCTTCAGAGTTGAATCTTTCGTTTCGGTCACTTCTTATTTGGATGGTCGATCATGAACAATGGGCAACGGTCGCGAGATATGTGTGACACTAGTATCACTCGATTTTCAAGCGGCAAATGTCTGGAATGCAATGGGAAGTGCCCGTCTGACAATATGAGTTAAGCTTGGCCCTATTACATAAACGTCCCTATACTTCCTGGAAGCGTATAACTTTTTGAAACATAGCCGCCATCATCTCAGAACTAGCAAGCTACTTGTGGGTATTACAATTCCGATTGTAGAAATAGGCCTCATACCAACTTGAGATAGCCACCAAGGCATTGGAGGCTCAAATCTGCAGACCAAGCATGCTGATAAGATATTTAGGACCTAAGCTATGTTGAGCAACTGTATGTCTTTGTACGACATTAACCCTTGCAACGAGAACGTACATATCTCGAAGGTTAGATGACGTCAATCAGGGTGTCCAAGTTCAACGCCATTGTAATAGTTGTGGAGACACCGTCAACCCGAAATCGAAAAAGAACCGCTAGATGGGATATGCAAGGCGTTGAGAAGGGGCTATCCCATCCATTAGTCCATTAGCAGGCAAACTAAAGACCGGAAGTGCACGTTTGCGGTTGAAAGAATCTTGGAGGACCTCCTGTTTCCAGTGTACGTTTTGACATTCGTTAAACATCGTATACCCCAGACTGTTGGTATAACTCCATAAACTTTTACCGTACCATTGGAAGGCAATCCGGAAAGAGTTTTTGTAGTTCTTACTCACCTTGATCGCCTTCCTATCCATTCTGATGTTGGTGAATATCGAGTGTACTCGCCATGTTTTTGAAAACATTGAACCAAAAGCGAGGGTAAAGCCCAAACACAGCGTCCATGACTTGACCTGAATGTCCTTCATGTCAGCTTCGAATAACTGAGTTAGTTCGAGCAGTAGGCTATCTCCGTTATCTCGAAGTTTTCTACTGAACTTGTGAACTTTTAAAAGCTTTGAATTTATAGAGTTCTCAGATTTCAGAGCCTATAAGAGTTCTTATGGCTTCGAGTTGAAATTTGTACGATCTGTTTGAAAAACATTATTCCTCTGGAGAGCAACACTCACATAACATAGTTTGACAAAGTTGTCATTTGACAGAATGCGAGTATCTATGCCGAGCAACACCACTGACGCAAAAGTACACATGGAACCAACGATGATCAGATTGTTCAGATTTGGCGATGACATTTTAATGAACCTGAAAACTATAAAGTCACTTCGCAGTATATGTCAGGAAAAATCATCGCAATTCATCAAAAAGAGTTCCCTAACTTTTTTTTTTGAGGCTGTCGTTCCTTTGATTTATTGGTGAAGGTTGTCAGTGAAATTCGCTGACGAACTCCAAACATACCTATGATTCCGGTATCTGATGTTGAAGAATAGGAAAATAAAAGCGAGTGAAATGCCGATGAACGCAAGGAATGACATGACGACGAACAGCAAATTGGATATGTATTCTCTCCTTCTCTCGATCACTGTAGCGTCGAGAGGCGGTTCCCAGCCTGAAGTGAAAAGAACTTGATGCTACGGTATTGTTACTGTATCTTCCAATTTTTTCTATGTACCTTTTCAACATGTCTGTGAAAAAAATGAGTGTTTATCTAGTGTTGACTGTTTCTTTTACTTTGGCTCACGGATAACTCGAAGAAAGTGCTTCGCTACAAGGCTATGAGTCCTATGACCGGACCATTCAATTTGTACAAAACGGTGACATATGGGTTTAATTAGCTCGAATACGACGTTAAAAACTAAGTAGTCCTCAGCTCACTACCATTGGCTGCAAAACGAACGACTGGCATATACGGCTCGAAAATGAAGCTTTGAGAAGGTATTACTAACATTATGCGACAAATTTTTACCACCGCTGAGTAGAAAGGCGCAACAATCAGCATGAGCCAAATAAGCATCAAATTCTTCTCAAAATGTTTCACTTTCCGAAATAAAAACCTTCGCAGAAACTTGGCAACTTTCGACCAGTCACTGATCATTATATCTAAGACGATGGTCGGCCCGAGTGCCTTCCACTTGGATTTCAGACACCAATATGTGCATGTTAGTGAGGTATCAACCACCAAATCACCACAGCCCCAAGTAGCCCCCACCTGTGAGAATAAGGAGGTGATCCGTTGAATCTAGTTCCTTTTTAAAAATTCGGTCAAAATAAACAATATTCAAAGGCTTCACAGCCAAAATGATTCTAACACACCTCCCAAATCACTTTTCATGTTGAAAACGTCACTGGCGCCATCGTAGTAGCCAACATCTTCATAGGCGCCGTTCTTCCATTGGCGGATATCCACAAGGCCCAGTCGTTCGTTGTTTTCGAAGCGAACACGTCCCTTCAAAGTAGATAATTCTGACGAACACGTATCCAACATAATGTGAGTGACCCCTACCGTAACACCCTCAAAGGAACTGTTGTTGATCGCAGAAAGCAGCTTCATATGAGAGAAAGACGCATTAGCACCGAGAGCTTGACTGAGGGCGATCGCTAGCGTCCAGAGACCATCATAGAGATACCCTTGCCAAATGTTTGGGGACTCGCTCTCGAGTTCTGACCAAATATAGTTTGCGCGCTGAAATCAGAACTATCGAAAATCTAACTATACATCTAAGAAACATTTATACAGTCATTTAAGGACAGTAGAGAAGGAAAAAGAACTAGATTCAGACACTAATCAATCCTGTTTCTGGAATACGCCTCGCATTTCACTCCCATTAGGGACCGTAATTGTGTTTGCATGCGTACAAAGCTTTCACAAAGACCTCTGGTGACCTCTGGTGTTTGCTGGTCAATGATGTACAAGTCAGTAAATCTGCCCTCCCATACGAATATGGAACCAATCAACGACACCAGAGATGTGAAAGACTTCGTTGGCCTTTGCGAGCGTTGATCCGAGATTCGATCGCGATATGAAAACTACTTCATGAATACACCTATGAAGAAATACTTCTTTTGAGTTATTCCTTCGGACGTTTAACTCACCTTTCCGCCAATGACGTGAGTGTGATTGTCCTTTCTGACCAANATCGCAATATAGAAACTACTTCATGAATACATCTATGAGGAGATACTTCTTTTGAGATATTCCTTCGAACGTTTAACTCACCTTTCCGCCAATGACGTGAGTGTGATTGTCCTTTCTGACCAACGCGAACTCTACAGCAAAATGGCCTTCCAGCACAAGGTTCAGATCTTCACTTGTACAGTTCGCAGCGCCCACACCCATCCACCTAAATAACTTAGCTTTCATCGTTATTTTTAGCATTTTCCAATCCAAAGCGCCCTCAATTGCCTCCTCATCTGAAGGGAATATTACATTCTGAAGAAGTACAGTTGCCGCTAAAAATCATTCTTGGTAATACGGGGCCCCTCTCTCTTTGCAGTTACATATGTTTCTATTTGGTCACTCAAAACAAGTTACTGGGTAGTCTTCTAAGAGTGCTTTCCTCTCTCGTGAGCTATGTCCTATTCGAAGTGGAAACTAAAAAGCTGAGCTGGTCGTTTTGGCATGATATTTTTTCTGGCATAAAACCAAGTGCGTCGTAAAATTAAAAACGAGATTGGTCTATTTAGCAAATAAATAAATATTATAATAGAATGCTACAATGCTGGTCATAAGCAACCAATACACTTTCCATCTCCATTTTTCCATTTTATTGACTGAGCAACTAGCAGGTAATCATCCTTAAACCCTATCAAATTTGTGCTGAGGTAAAAACGTGATCCCTTCCACTAATTTTCATCATTCTTTTAGCCCTGACGGTACCATACATCACTGCTACTCTCTGAAGGTACACAAGACACATCAACAGATCCTAGTTCAACCCGTTCACAGTTACTCCCTTACATTCTTCAGTGGATTGGATTGGTCCCATGTAGGCCAATAATTGCACGAACAGTTAACGTACGCTGTCGAGTGGTATCCCGGCAGAATCCATAAGTAGCTCTCGCCATACATTTGGCGATGAAACGCTTCACAGAGCACGTATGCCGCTAAATCTTCGGCAATGTCGACAACAAGTATGCGGACATCACGATTCTGAAAAATAGATCACTTTGCTCAAAGTTCCAAGATCTGATCGAACCTAGTACTGGTGGACCTTTCTCGCTCATGAAATCAGAACATGGGCTCGTTCCAACGTTCTCACATGGATTGCTCTCCTAAAGACCTCTCCCTGGTTTCATTCACAGCCATTTACCCCTCAGAGCGAATGTACCCTGGCCTAGCGATCAATTCGGGTCTGCCTAATGTTGCTCTGCTCCCCACTATTTTTCCCGGAGGTTCATTACTTTAATATATTACAGTAAGACCCTACAGCGGAAGACCCATATTCTATTCATGCTTAAGAAAACTTGAGGCCAGAGGCACCAAAAATTTCTCAAGCTCAGAAATAGTTCTAATCACTTCTATGTTCACACATTCATTAAGCGCAACACAATTCTTAGAATCAAAATGTGGTTAATGGCAATAGTTGACTCACCTGCTACCCTTATCAGAAGAGACCTCGTTGTAAATGAAGTGAATTGAATTGAATTAGGGCAGCGATTAGAGCTTTTGCTTTTGCTTTACCTACCAAACCGATCACATGTGTAAGGCGAGGGGTTGTTGGGGAGAAGGCAATGCTCATCAGATGGCAACAACTGCCCACCAAAAACCTAGTCGCAGAAATTTCGACTACAAAAGTTGTACTTCAATCTTAAAATCAGTTAGCATCCAATAGCATCCAGCAATAATTTCGTTGCCATCCCCCTCCCC